AGCCCTCAGTCAGAGCAAGAAGCAGCCAGGTAAATTGCAGAGCCCCCCCCCCTGCACCCCCTGGTCCTAAACAGTCCAGTGGCACCGTTAAGACCAAGTTATATTCAGGTACAAGCTCTCCCTCCTCTGCGAGGACAGATCTGCATGGTCCCCTCACCCCCCAATAGCTAGCAATCCAAAACAGTCCAGTGGAGCCTGAGCGGTGGGTGTTGCCTTCTGACACACTTCCGGTGATGTCAGGGGGTGTGGCATATGCAAACAAGTTATGCTAATGAGTTATGCTAATGAGCTCCTGCACCTCTTTTTCTACGAAATGACCCCTGGAGATTTATATCTATGTTCTTGTTAAAACTAATAAACAAATGTTACCAAAAAAATGAATTTCTGCCTGCTGCGTCGCTGTCAAGGAGAGGCAGCCCTCTTTTCCTGTGTTCCCCAGAGCCTCCCGCAAAGGGCTTTGTCCGGCTTTGTTGACACGCCGCTTGACCTCTTCTGATTCTCGTTTCCAAGAAATCTCGGTGACAGTGTGAGCCCTCTCTCTCTCTCCCCTTCTCGGTAAACCCGACTCCAAGTCACGTGGCTGGGAACTCAGGCGGAGGGTGGAACAAGCTGTTCCGACCTGTACAGTTGGACAAAAACATTTTGAAACACCCAAAAGAACCCAGCCCCGGAACAAAGGGTGGCAGCTGTCCAGTCAGGACCTGAGCACTGGGCCGCCCGGCGAGGTGCAAACTCCACAAAACCCTGCACCGGATGTGGCGACATTGTCCCTCACTTGGAGATGCCAACTTTTGGTTAGGAAGTTCCTGGAGATTTGGGGGGGGTGGAGCCAGGGGAGGGCAGTGTTTGGGGAGGGGAGGGGCCTCAGCAGAATATAATGCCATAGAGTCCACCCTCCAAAGCAGCCATTTTCTCCGGGGGAACTGGAGTGCCTGGAGATCAGTTGTAATAGCAGGAGGTCTCCAGGCCCCACCTGGAGACTGCCAATCCTAATCGTATATAAGATCTTATAGCATGGATTAAAATTTAAAAAAGACTGGAAACCCCCCTCCCCGGTTTACTCAAGCTCATCCTTCATCCATCAGTGAACACACTATTGCTGTTCCAGCAACAAGTCAGACCAGCTCCCTTGTAGTCTCTTCCTGTCCAGAAGCAGGACCGGGGGTGGCCCTTGTCTGCCCCCCCCCCCATGGTCTCAGTCAGGAAGAGGAAACTAGATTGGGAGGCCCAGACTGGAAAATTAGGCCTAACTGAGAACCCAGCCATGTGCAGGAGGAGCCTAGTGTGAGGTTTTTAAGAAACAAAGCACCTCAGAGAAAAGCAAATACTCCAAATTCAACACAAGCTCTTTACTTAAGAGACAGAGAAAGGCAATGAGAAAATGGTTGGGATTTTTGCCTTTAAATAAAGGCTGATTGCGCAGATGAAGGAGCCAGACGCCATGTTAAATTTTATAAAGAAAACACACAAGTTTACTGAAAAATAAAAGGGAAGGGAACTTTGGATAAAAATAACAGAGAATACATCCTAATTCTAAACTCACATCCTATCAGTTACACGGCTAAAGCATAGGAACAACGGCTACTTCTCTGCCCTTCTTGTTGCTGAACACAAAGAGCCATGAACGTGTGAATACATGCATACAATATCAAAAGCATGTCCCGCAAACAAGATGTTAACTGACCAATCCGAAGGTTATATGTCACTTAATTAGGATAAACAACTCCCACAAACTTTCCCACCTTGACTGGATTAGACAAGGTAGCATCCTGCTAACTAACAGCATTTAACGCCCATAATGACTGAAATGTAAGCAACTTGTAAACTTCAACAAAAATGTCCCCGAAGTGTTCTGTACTCTAGATAATGGCGATGAAGATTATATTATAAAAGAATCTAAACACTTGTTTTCAGAGTCTTTACCAGATTAAGAAGGTAAAGGAGTCATAATTTTGCTTACCTCTGATATATAAAGTATGTATTTAATGTGTACAGTAAAATTATTGTTCCCCAGATATTGGTCTTTGATCCGTCCTATTAGGTTTTCTAGCGTTCTCACTGTCGGTCAACACAGCCAAATGGAAATACCACATTGACAATGTGTCGGTATAGCAGTCAACTTTTTGCATCCAGATAATTTTTAGGAATACTCCCCTGGAAACTGTACCTTCGTGGGGCGGCGGGCGGGAGTAAGTGGAAGAAGATGAACAAGAGTTGATTCTGTCTGGAGTTGGCCACAGCGAAAACAGACTGTAATGTTTTTATAACTAATATAAATAAGGTTTTAGATAAAATCAGTAACATTTTAATAATATATGCAGGTGCCAAGCTACAGGGTCCCCCCCGACCTTAACTGGAGGGAGTATATACCTGATCCATCACACCCGGAGATTTCCTACCAGTGTACAAGTGCTTCTTTTGCACCTCGCAGTCATCACTGGCAAGGGCCAGCATGTCAGAATGGTAAGTGTATCCGACCAATCTACACGCAGCTGCACATTCTTTTTGTTTACATTGTATATGAAGCCATGGCTTCCGATCCAGAGCTGCTTATGTTTGTAGATGAGAGCCAGTTTGGTGTAGTGGTTAAGTCCGCGGACTCTAATCTGGGAGAACCGGGTTTGATTCCCCACTCCTCCACTTGCACCTGGCTGGATGGCCTTGGGCAAGCCGTAGTTCTGATAAGAACCGTTCTTGAAAAAGAGCAGTTTCTGTCAAGAGTTCTCTCAGCCCCACCTACCTCACAGGGTTTCTGTTGTGAGGAGGGAAAGGGAAAGGAGTTTGTAAGCCGCTCTGAGACTCCTTCAGGTAGTGAAGGGCGGGGTATAAATCCAATCTCTCCTCTTCTCTCTCTAATTAAACTGACTTCCTCATCCGCTTCAGTGAAGGAACAAGCATCCTTGTAGTTTACGTCTGCATTCTTCCCAGGGGTCATTTCGTAGAAAAAGAGGTGCAGGAGCTCATTAGCACAACTCATTAGCATAACTTATTTGCATATGTCACACCCCCTGACATCACCAGAAGTGTGTCAGAAGGCAACACCCACCACTGGACTGTTTTGGACTGCTAGCTATTGTGGGGTGTGTGTGTGCAGATCTGTCCTCACAGAGGAGGGAGAGCTTGTATCTGAATAAAACTTGGTCTTAAAGGTGCCACTGGACTGTTTTGGATCGGGGGGCTGGGGGGATCTCTGCAGCTTACCTGGCTGCTTCTTATTCTGACTGAGGGCTGCTGGGAGTAGGGGGTGGGGCTTGTTGCATGTGCCCACCTCCTGGGCTCTTTACTGCCGGAGCTCCGCTCCTGTGCGCTCCTGCAGAAAATGACCCCTGATTCTTCCCCTCTGTAATGGTGAATTGGGAGACTTCGGTGAGGAGGAAAACATCCAAGCTCCCCTTTTACCAAGGAACTATAAAAATATGTGATAATGACATGATACGTATTTGAGCGGCCTGCAGGAAAGAGAAGTTAATGTTTGTCTTACTCCCACTGAAATCAGTGGATTTAGAAGTGTTTCATTCCAGATTATCTCCTGTGGCTTCATTTTATTTAACTGAATAGATCCTGTGTTTGAAATGAGAAAAGTGTAATACCACCATAGAAGTCCAGAGTGCTTTTATTATGTAGATTCAAAACAATGGTTAAGGCAAAGCGACTAAAGTGAATTGGGCTAATTTCTGATGGTGACAGTAAGCTTTGGCAAGACTGTTCTTTTATCCTCCATGGTTTTATAAACTTGAACAATTTGCCCTGAAGCCTGCGAAATCAAAACATTACTTTATTCGTTTTTGGCCACTAATCCCACATATGCTTATTAATGAGTAAGTCAAAATGATTTCAACAGAATTCAAGTACACATTCTATTTTTTTTTAAATTAAGGTGTGTCCCATTGATTCCAGTCAAAGAAGGTTACCTCCTCTGTTGAGTTCAATTAAACTTGAAAGTTTTTGTGTCCTTGGAATTGGACTCTACTTAGCAGAAATGCCCTGGGCTCCCTGAAGCCACTGATAGAGCCCCAGTGTAAGACTCTTAGGCTGACTTCCCACAAGTAGCTGCTCCGCCCTCGCTCTTCCCTTTCCCCCAATTGTATCTGTCAATTTCCCACTACTTGCTGCACGTCCCGCATTTCGACCCGCAACATCCCCCGGTTTCCCCCACGTCTTCTCGATCTCAAAAAACAAGGCCGTAGAAAGTAGTGGGAAATTGACGCATACAATCGGGGGAAGAGGAAGAGCGAGGGCGGCACAGCTGCTTGTGGGAAATCAGTCTTAGTTAATTACTGATTGTTTTTCCTTAAGCTTAATTTTGGTTTTTAGACCGATCCAGGTAGAGGCTATACAGTGATATTCTGCGGCACTTAGCACGATTTGTTTGTTGGTCAACCTTTTGCTATAAGGGTCACCCAAGATGCTAAAGTGTTGGAAGTCATAAAGGTCACTGAATCTTGCAGAATGGGAACTTGATGTGCATAGCTCAGTTTGTGCATTTCTGTCGTTTTAGTCCCTTGTGTAACATTGATCTTTATTTGTGAAAACAGGTTGTCAGGTAACTGGAACCTTTTATGCTTGTCCACCGCCTGAGTCTCAGACTCCTGGGATCCCGATAGAGCCAGGCATAAGGTCTGGCGAGGCTGTTGCATTCTCGGGTATGTAAACCGTTCGTCATTTGCACCCACTTGGAGAGCTGGCTTTCTTCAGCAAGCAGCTTGTCTCTACTTTTGTGTGTGTGCGCGTGAGTGTGCACCTGGAAGTCATGGCGACCTCTGGTGGCTGACCCCTACGGGGGGCCTGGAGGACATTCAGATGTGGCTGAGTAAAGCCTGCCCCTGTCCTCCCGACTGCCGTTATACCTTGGAGGTCTGGTCTCCCATCCAATGCTTGCCAGAGTCGACCCTGCTTAGCTTCCGGGATCTGACAAGATTGGGCTTGCCTGGGCTGTCCGGGTCAGGACTCAGCTGGCCTCTATCTGTTTCTCTGTAGAAACTATGATCATCATGATATGGCAATTGAAGGGGCAGCAGTATGATGATACAATTATACCAGGATTACTGCAATAGTGCGTACAATACATGAAATACAAGAAAACATGAACAACAATTAAACTCTGATGATAACTGACTTCATGTTGTTTTAGTCTTGTGTTTTTCAACAGCAGGACGCCATCGGACGATAGGTGATGACGTCGAGACAAACAGAGGACGAACTTCCCAAGCTACCGTTCGTTTCGATGTCTCTTTTTCAAACAACGGTTTCCTATCAAAAAAAATTAAAGCTCATAATAGGGAACCCTCTGGTCACAATTGCTACAATTTAACATTAATTAATAGCTCGGGAAGTTCGTCCTCTGTTTGTCTCGACGTCATCACCTATTGTCTGATGGCGTCCTGCTGTTGAAAAACACAAGATTAAAACAACATGAAGTCAATTATCATCAGAGTTTAATTGTTGTTCATATTTTCTTGCATTTCATGTATTGTATGCACTATTGCAGTAATCCTTGTATAATTGAAACTATGATCGTCGGCAAATGGCTGTCACTTCCTGCTTGACAACTGCCCCAACTTCACTTATAGGCTCTCTATGTAACATTCCTAAGTATAGAATATACAGAGGCGGAGCAGGGAATAGTGATAGTAGTGAAATAAGGTAGACTGTGAGGACTTGTTTAAGAACTTGGGGGTCTTCTTTTGAGGGTTTGTGGGCATTTTCCCTGTGGCAACAGTTATGGCTGCAGTTTTCCATTATGTGGTCTTTCCCTTGGCGACTCTCAGTTGGTGAACTTCTCCTTTGCTACCCGACCTGGTATTCATGCCGTGGCCTACAAGCCTCAATACCAAGTGCTATTATATTTAGAATAAGTGAACATGAAGCGTGTTTCTTAACAAAATAATACTGGAGGAGTTAGTCTAGTTTGGTGTAGTAGTTAAGTGTGCGGACTCTAATCTGGGAGAACCGGGTTTGATTCCCCACTCCTCCACTTGCACCTGCTGATGTGAGGTCTCTGAGCGGCTACAGTTAATCAAAAAATACTGGAGGAGTTAGTCTATTGTCAAACACGTTTATTATTTATTACTTTCGACTTTTATACCGCTCCATTCCCGCAGGCTCGGAGCGATTTACATAGTAAGTTACTTCTCGAATCTACGGCCACAGTATATGGGAGAAGGTGACTGCCTACCGACACCCAGGAGCACATATAACTCCTGTAGTGTTATATACAGAAGGACTAATCTTAGTAGTGTTTAGCTTAATAATTATTATTTATATAGCATTTCTTGCCCTCTCAAAACCCGGTCTTAATCTTCTTCCTCATGATAGCACTGCAAAAGCAAGTACTTATAATGCCCACTTAATAAATAAACAACTGAGGCGGAGATTCAAAGTGAAAACTTGTGCACATTAATTTGTGAGGAAGCCCCATTGAGCATAATGGCACATGTTTCTAAGGACATGCACGCATGGGATTTGACTGTTGAGTCGCTCAGCAAGTTGTTGCCAAGATATGGTTGAACCCTCATTTTTGAGGTCTTGCATGCTACTATGAGTCTTGTCTTGCTTGTAGCTGTCTTACAAACCGTCAGATTTCATATAAATGTACTTTCAGATTGTCGGCTGCACATCGGTCTCTACTACAATGGAACTCTGGTTAAAGAAGTCACAACAACGAGCCCCGAGGGCTGTAGGATATCACACGGCCAAAGTTTTGAGGTCAGCGGTCTTGAACAAATCGCATTCCCTTATCCAGAAGATCCTGGCCAAAGGAAAGCAACTGAAAAATTGCTCAGCCACTTGGAAAGGGGAGTAATACTCTGGCTGACACCCGACGGGCTTTATGCGAAGAGACTTTGTCAAAGCAGGATATACTGGGATGGACCACTGGCGTTTTGCAGCGACAGGCCTAACAAACTGGAAAGAGAGCAGAGTTGCAAACTTTTTGACACCCAGCAGTTTTTATCAGGTATTCTTTTTTTCCAAACTAAACGACAATGGTCAGTGCATTCCTATGGTGTATGGTTTGAAGTGATGAAAGTTTCTGGGGGCCGATATTTCTTCTGTACCCACGGACGGTCCTTTTGTGTCAGTTTCTCATGTGTCCGGCCTCGCAAATCGTTCAGTTATGGGTTGAATCCGGCACAAGGATCATGCAAGGGCTGCAGGTCTCCCAGGATTCCCCCCCCCCAGCAGTTTTTTCGAGTTCTGGAAAAATTTATTCTCAAGGTCACAGGGACCTGCGTGGAGTCATAGCCACAGAGGTCAGGAGGCTGCAGTGGAGTAAAAAAAAATCTTCCCTTCCTCTTCCATCGGGGGAGTTCTATTCTCAAAATCCAGAGGAGTTGGGCGTGTTAGTCTGTCGCTGGAAAACAGTAAAAAGCCCAGTAGCACCTTTAAGACTAACAAACTTTATTGTAGTGTAAGCTTTCGAGAAGCACAGCTCTCTTCGTCAGATGCACGTAGGGTATGAAGAAACTGGCCAGAGATATAGAGGTGGTAAGGGGAGGGGGGAGAGGATGCAGAAAGTGCCACGTAAATGCAAAGCAGTTGCAAAAGTCATGAAAAAGGTTGAATGCGCAAACCAGGCTAGGTGTGACTACCCCTTCCTTCTATTGATGAATCTGAATGGAATACCTGAAAGGCAGTTCCTTCTGCTACAATCAAATTTGTTAGTCTTAAAGGGGCTACTATTTATTTACTTTATTTATTTTTAATTGGATCTGTATCCCGCCCTCCCCTTAATGGGCTCAG